AAGCTTTTAAATTACAAGATTTATGAGCACAACCTTGTTTGAGGCATATTATAGTTGTCTCCTGGCATACCAGGAAAGAAACAAGAGCTGGCTAAAAATGTATGTATATCAAATGTTTGTGAGCTGAAGCAAGAAGTGGTTTATGTTAAATGATCTATGTGAACCTTTCCAGACTGGTGTATTATACTGCAGATATTATGCCATTAGCATTCCGTACATAAAGTCCTGTAAAACAGCAGATTCAGCCAATTTACTGAGAAATGCAGATCTCCACATGGCACAATTAATACAACAAATCAGTTTGCTCACTTTTAAGCTTCAAGTGGCACTTTAGAAACCAGGGATTGACATGTAAAGCATAACCTGATTATTTTAATCCAATCTGCTTTTTCAGTTCATACTTATCGTATTAGTTTAATTAGCGCTATTTAAAGTAAATGATAGTTATATCCCACTGCACTTTCTGAAGTATTCACTGAAAAAGAACAATTAGATAAAAGGGAATATCCTATTCCTCAGCGAGATTTTACAATGCACGGGTTCTTTGGCCTTAAATGAGCAAACTGTTGAGTGTTAAGTTTGTCAAACAAGGTTCCGGAGTTGGGATTTATGACCAGAGGCTGGATGGATAGTTCATAGCAAATATCCAGCATTACATCTTTCTTAAAGTCACTATACACATGATTTGCATAAATCTCCAAATAAAGGGTTGTCCTAACGCTTGAGAGTTTATATCAACACAATGCTATACAAATTTACATTTCCATACAGTAGTGCCTTTCATGATGACAGGGTTTCCCAGGCGCTGGACAATCCAGGCTTTGAACCCAAGATGAGGGTTGGGGCCAAGGGGGTGAGGAAAAGATGGCCGAAAGTGCAGTCATAGGGGATGGTCTCACGGCGGATCTTGAAGGAGGCAAATAAAAAGATGAGTCAAAGGACTCTGGGATGGAGTTCCAGAGAGTGGGTATAGATACGCTGAAAGCCCAACCACCAATAGTGGGGTGGGGGAACGCAAAATAGGTGCAAAATACTGAGTGGAAGGAGAGGCTGGTGTGGTAGGGTTTGAGGAGGTCGCAGATGTAGAGCGTGGCGGGGGGGGGTAGCAGTTTAATTCAAATATTGCAGCAATAGACAGTAATTCAAAACATCTTCCATTTTGCTCTCAAATTAAAAATATGCATAAATAGATCTTTGCATCACACATTTTTAAATATTTCAGGAACCTCCCCCATAAAGAATTCCTTGCTTAATCCAGTAGCTTGTAACTTCTATCACAAGGTTGCTCCTGTAGAATGAACTGCCCAACTCAAATCACTTGAAGCAAAAGAAACAATCTACACAAAGATAAAAGTACACAATTAAAAGATTTTGATCAGTGCAACATATACAATTAACTCTTTTCTGCACTGCAGCAGCCTTTCATCACTGTGTCCGAAAGAGACAAAAGTTCACAAAATGTTTGTTTTCTTGAAATTTTTCACACTTCATATTCAGTAATATTAAGCCTTCTTTTCAGACACTCATTTAGCAAACTAGTGTATAACCCAAAAAATTTCCAAAGGAGAGAGAGAATTTAATAGATAAAGTAGCAACTGTAGAAATTGTAATAGTTAACAATTAAAGACTGCATCTTGATCATCCATCTTATCTCTGCAATGCAGAATTGTACATAAAAATGCAATCAGTTCAAAATCAGCAAGAGTTGCAGCAGACTTTCAGTTAATCTTGCGGATAATTGTTGTTGTTCGATTGAATAAAACTTTAAGAGAAAAGTGTAATCTTACTAGAACAAAAATAACTATGTAGTTATGTTTGTCAACAAACCCATTATTTTAAATTGCTGTTGTCACAAGCAGAAGATACAAGTTGACTTTGCAAGAACATGCATGTTTTTTTTTGAAAAAACAATAATACCTTGTGTAATCCCCACAGTGTGCTTGAGATTTTCTCAAACCATCAAATTTAAAATTGTAATTGTGTCTGTAAATTATATTTTAAATGAACAAAAAATTCAGTACAACAACTGTGCTATAATGGGGAAGGAAACAATTTAAACCCTGAAACAACCTAATACCAGAAATCCCCTTTCAATTAGCAAATTTATAAACATAGTTTAAACGAAAGAGCATGCAGATAGAAAAAAGATAAAACACCTATAAGAATTGCTCACAAAATACAGCCTTTTTTAAAAAAAAAATCAGTTTCTGTTCATCTCTTTGCATTCTTTAGGCTGTATGAAATGTGTCCACCTGTAGAATAACAGCAAGACATACCAAAAATATCCTAGAAGCCTACGAATCAAATTTTCTTGTAAATGTTTAACATGCTTCCAACAAACTTACAATACAATGCTTTATTCACGAATTGTATGTATATCTGATGCATTGATAATAAGACAATTCCCACAATCTGCATTACTTTAACTGATCATGCATTGCAATCTTTCACACCCCTCAGCAAAATGTTTGGTAAATGGATTACAGGTTAGCGATTAGGAAATTGTGATCAAATAGAGACCCGCTTAAGTAGAATAAAACATTCCCAATTCAAGAGCACATTTTTGAATCATTTTTAACAATGATTTATCAGTTTTCAAACCATTTTTATTTTTTCCAAATCTGCAGTATTTTCATAAGTCAACAATTGTCAAATGTTTAATTTACCACTGTCATTTAATGTAGACAACCAGATTGACTTTTAAATAGCTGAAAGCCTTTAATGAAATTTGGGCAAAAGCACAACCTATCATATTCATAACAAAACAGAACTACTGTAATTATAATAATTAACTTTTCTGAGGAGAAACGATGGGCACTGCGGTTTCATGGTTGAGAATTGTTGAATTTTACTCGACAGAAAATCTGATGTGAACATCTCCCTTTCCTCTCTCTACCCCTCACCATATACATCAAAACGATGTGCGTTGGTCTCCACACTTAACAGGATGATGAAACATCCTGAACATTGTCCCCTAAAATCCAGTCCCCCCCATCCTTCCACAGTGATGCAATAAACTTTTAAAAAGTTGCACAAATGTTCAGCAAAAATAAGTAAAAACAGACTTCACAAAAGTCACTGAGCGAGAAACCAAACTCACATGAAAAGATGAATCAATGAACCAAGATCGTGCCCTCGTCTTTCAAAGCACGATAGGCGCAGTACCTTACATGACAGTACAAAGGAAATCTAATAAACCCTTGGAATATAAGTAGGTCAAATATCTACCCACTTTCAGGGAGGTTAACGCAGTAAAGTAACTGTTTCTGGTGGCAAATACAGTTCCTAAAAGTTTGAGAAAACTCGGGAATTTTTTTTACACACCACACACACAAAAAGTCTAACCCACATCATCCCAAACGCACCCACCTGTATTTTGAAATGAATTGCAAAAAGCAGACAGTCTCACTAACCCCGACTTACAAGCAGACAGAACACCTCGCACTGCAAGAACCAGCCGGGGGGCGGGGGAGAGGGGGAGAGGAGAGAGAGAGGGGGGGGGAGGAGAGAGAGAGGGGGGGGAGGAGAGAGAGAGGGGGAGAGGAGAGAGGGGGGGAGAGAGAGGAGGGGGGGAGAGGAGGGGGGGGGGAGAGGAGGGGGGGGGAGAGGAGGGGGGGGAGAGGAGGGGGGGGAGAGGAGAGGGGGGAGAGGGGGGGGAGAGGAGAGAGAAGGGGGGAGAGGAGAGAGAGAGGGGGGAGGAGAGAGGGGGGGAGGAGAGAGGGGGGAGAGGAGAGGGGGGGGAGGAGAGAGGGGGGGAGAGGAGAGGGGGGGGAGAGGAGGGGGGGGGGAGAGGAGGGGGGGGGGGAGAGGAGGGGGGGGGAGAGGAGAGGGGGGGGGAGAGGAGAAGGGGGGGGAGAGGGGGAAGAAGGGGGGAGGAGAGGGGGGAGAGAAGAGGGGGAGGAGGAGAGAGGGGGAGAGAAGAGAGGGGGGAGGAGAGAGAGAGGGGGGAGAGAGGGAGAGGAGAGAGAGGGGGGGAGAGGAGAGAGGGGGGGGAGAGGGGAGAGGAGAGAAGGGGGGGAGAAGAGAGAGAGGGGGGAGAGAGAGGAAGAGGGGAGAGAGAGGGAGAAGAGGGGGGGGAGAGAGGAAGAGGAGAAAGAGAGAGAAAGGGAGGGGAGAGGGCGGAAAACACGGAGGAACATTTCCAGATACTATCCCCCCCCGTGTGTGTGTGTGTGTGTGTGTATGTGGTGCGGTTTCCCCCCCGCGCCCCCAAACAAAAAAAGTGGAAGAAAAAGGCGGCGGAGGCAGCAGGTGGGAGTGAGTGAGTGAGTGAGGGAGGGAGTGAGGGAGGGCGATGCTCTCCGGGGGGGGGGGGGCGCGCAACAGGTTAAAACCGAGATGGTTTAAAACAAAAACAAGAGTTTTCTTCCTTTTTTAAAAAATATATTTAAAAAAAAGCACGAGCCGACACGACGGCAGCTGTGGGGATATGGGATGGTGGAGAACGCTCTGGTCCGCACGCGCGCCGACCATACCCCCCACCACCCCCCAGCACAGCCGCCCTCACCCCCTCACCCCCCCCGAAAGGCACACACACAGATGAAACTTTACACAATGTTTCACCCCCTCCTCCCCCCCCCCCCCCCCCGGGGCACAGCTCAGCTCAGCCCCGGAGCCTCCAATGCCATCGTGTAAGTTGTTGTTGTTGTCGCCCACAGTGAAGCTCGAGGCTGGAGCCCATGTCAACACCGCCCGCCCTCCGGCCACGGCCACGGCAGCGGGTGCTGGGGAGGGAGCGCGGGGCCTGCGGGGGGCGGGTGGACCCGGTGCCCGGGGGGGGGGGCGGCGCGGGGGGCGCCGCGGCTCCTCTTCTCTCCGCTGTCGGGCTCCGCGGGCGGCAGAGCGGGGGGTCGAGCGGCCGCTGAAGCCGCCAACTCCCCGCGACCACCGGCCACCGCCTGACTGTCTGTGTGTGTGTGTGTGACTGTCTGTGTGTCTCCCCCTCCCCACCCCCCGCTCTCTCCTCCCCTCCTCCCCCCGGGCCTCAGACCCTCACTTACCGGTCGTGAGAGGCGCTAAAGCCGCTCCTCCGCAGCCGCCGACTCTCTACTGAGCCGCCATCTTCCCGCGTCACCGCGACCTCAGCTCCTCCCGCGCACGCGCCCTCCCTCCACCTCAGCACAGACAGTGCACAGAGCAGGGGAGCAAGTCTGGCTCAGCACAGACAGTGCACAGTGCTGGGGAGCAAGTCTGGCTCAGCACAGGTGCAGGGAGCAAGTCTGGCTCAGCACAGACAGTGCACAGAGCAGGGGAGCAAGTCTGGCTCAGCACAGACAGTGCACAGAGCAGGGGAGCAAGTCTGGCTCAGCACAGACAGTGCACAGGGCAGGGGAGCAAGTCTGGCTCAGCACACACAGTGCACAGAGCAGGGGAGCAAGTCTGGCTCAGCACAGACAGTGCACAGTGCTGGGGAGCAAGTCTGGCTCAGCACAGACAGTGCACAGAGCAGGGGAGCAAGTCTGGCTCAGCACAGACAGTGCACAGGCAGGGGAGCAAGTCTGGCTCAGCACAGACAGTGCACAGGCAGGGGAGCAAGTCTGGCTCAGCACAGACAGTGCACAGTGCTGGGGAGCAAGTCTGGCTCAGCACAGACAGTGCACAGGGCAGGGAGCAAGTCTGGCTCAGCACAGACAGTGCACAGTGCTGGGAGCAAGTCTGGCTCAGCACAGACAGTGCACAGTGCAGGGGAGCAAGTCTGGCTCAGCACACACAGTGCACAGAGCAGGGGAACAAGTCTGGCTCAGCACAAACAGTGCACAGCACAAGGGAACAAGTCTGGCTCAGCACAGATAGTGCACAAAGCAGGGGAACCGGTCTGGCTCAACACAGACAGTGCAGGGGAACATGTCTTGCTGAGCACAGAGGGGTGGTGCAAGGTGCAGTCTCAGTACAGAGTAGGTCTTGTGTTGATGGCCAGAGAATTTATTTAATTATGATCATTACTTCACAAGTAATCATTCCTTAAAATAATTGGTCACTTCAGTCCACAACTGTTGTGCGCAATTGGTTGCCGCGGTTCGCCCACAAAATATACAGTCAATTCATTTTGCAGTATATTCTGTGATGTGTTTTGAGACATCTCACAGACGTGATAAGGCGCTATATCAAATGCAAGGATTATTATTACACCCGAGCAATCATTGAAAAATGGTTCAAATTGATTTCAGGATGCATAAAAAGCAAAATATATTTGATGACTAAATGTTCTTTAAACAAATTTAAACTTTAAATGTTGCGGTTTATATTAATTTATTAATCATCCAAAAGATTGTTGAATACAATATTAAACTACACTTCAATTATAACTTTATTTTCCATTGCCTAATATGTACATAAATGTATTGTAATAATTCTTCCATTTGATATATCTCTGACTATATAATGTCAAAATACCATGAAACACTCGCAGTTATTATTCTTTTAAATGCAGAAAAATACACTTTTGGGCATAACAGGAAATTGCACTTTTAGTTGATGTAAAATTTAAAAATTAAGAAAATGGTACAATATTTGAATTAATATGCATGTTGTAACCGATAGCTCTTAAATAAGTTTATTCCACCGTGTTAATTTCCGGCCATCATTTGTACTTGATACTCGTGTGTCAATCTGACTTTCTGAGAAAGTCATGGGTTCAAGCTCCCATCAGGACTTGAAACTCATATCGTCAGTGGAGTACTGAGAGTGTGCTGTATTGTTGTGAATACCATCCTTCAGTTCAGACATTAAACCAAGACTGTCCAAACCAGGGGCACGATTATAAAAGAGAAGTGTTTCTCCCCATGTATTGTCCAACAATCCCCCAGATAAAATTGATCATTCACCTCATAGCTGTTTGTGGGACATTGCTGTACGCAAATTAGCTACTACACTCACAAAACACATGCTCACTACAGTACATCCTGTGAGGCGTTTTGAGACGTCCTCCCACTTAAACGTCGCTACACCAATTTTAAGAATTATTGTCCCATTGGGAGAGTGAATAAACTCTCTGCCAGTTCACTTAATAATGTCAATGCACTCATTATTTAAACAAAAGCTGAGTAGAAAAATAAACAATGATATGAAAGCACTTTATTGTGTCAATGTGATTTAAAAACAAAGACATATATAATGGCAACCTCTTCTCATATTGTTGCAAACCAATGTACATAACCATAACTTGTGGTTACATTTTTTTAGGTGAGCACATTGAAGTCTGGAGTACAAAGCCTATCTAAAGATTATACGTACATAATTGAATGCACACCTCAACCATGGAAAAAAAAACATCCTTGGATTAATGTGGCTTACTGTTTTTACAACAGAAATACAATATGTTGCTTCTGAAAAAAAACTAATGAATGGAAGATTATATACTTCAAGCAAACATTTTCTTGTCAGTTTTTCTTGAGTAGAATAGGATGTAGCAGTTTAGTAACTGAATAGTTTCAATTCTATTGTTAGTATATTTGCACAAATATCTCTTAAATAAAAGGAAACTAAGCTTTTTTTAAAAATCCTGGATACATTTATTATTTCTAGTAGAATTGCTGATTTGTCAACACTGCATTTCAATAAATGCCACACTGCACCCTTTATATCACAGTCTAAGATAGGGGTAAACACAATAAAGATCCCCAGCATATTCCAATACTTTCTTGTTATTAGATATCCTCCCCAGGCATATGCCTGTCTATTAGTCAAGTTTTGGATTGATTTCACTATCTCTAAATCAATGTAATTATTACTAAAAATTATATTTTGAAATAGTTCACATGATGTATTATTTGACTGTACAGAAACCACTAATTGTAAAATTGCACAAAAGGTTAGAGCACATCATTGTAAATTTTGATCCATGGTTCAAGTGCATTTGAGGGCATTAAATTTTAACAATAATATTGTGAATAATTTATATTCAAATGATAAGTAATTCTAGAATCAATTATAGATAGTAGTGTGACGCCAAAGGTTTCTATAACAATTCTATTCTGTTTTTATCATCCCCTAATTCACCACCTACCAGTTATTGAAGCCTTGTTAGCTATTTGGTGCTATTTGGTGGTGTCTTCATTTACTTGGCAAACAGGGAAGCCACAACATGGATTACTGATAGAAAGCGAAATAATTTGTAGTCTGACAACATGGCACTATTAGATGAGCAGGTGCAATTAGATGGGTTGTAGAGTGTGTCTACTGTTAAATGCCCTGCAGGAGAAATGTCAGTAATGAAATAATTAAAGAGTAAAAAGAGTTGTAGTCTTTTTAGCACTGGTTCAATAGGCATCACTTGTTGCCAATAACCTGTCCAGCAAGTGGGAAGACCCGCAACCTATCACAGCCTGACATGTGAGGGGGCTCTGACTTGGTAGTTAAGGATTTTAACTGGACCAAGCCACATAGTGGAGCAGGTTCGCAAGACTAGAACACATTTTTATTATTGGAACCTGGGGAAATGTCTTGAACTATACAAAGACATTGGATGTTCTGGAGCTCTATTGCACAGAGGCTGCTAATTCTCAATCTACGTAGTGCATTTCCAAACTCCTTTCACTCATGTTAATCACTGAAACCAACAAAAAGGATAATTTAAAGAACTTTACAAACAGTTAGATGTCATTGCCCCCATTAATCATAGGAAGAAAAGAATTATAATCACCTTAGTGTACCATCAGCACCAATCTAGGAATGTCTGTTATCTGAACAAAACACAGATAGAAATAGAACTGTCATATGTGCCTTTGACTTTGCCCTTGAAAATAAATATAGTTATGGCTTTGTTGCAAAAAACAAGTTCTACACTTAAGGCGAGTGCTGCCCAATGTAATTTCTTTCAAAACTGACATGTATAACGTTTTAATATTGTAGATAATTGTTGTTGTGCTTTTTCGTTCATCTTATGTTTCATTCCAGAATTGTTTATTGGACAATTATGCAAAGTAAGTACAGTTTCTCTACATTAACAACAAGCAATGGGGTCTAATATGCATTATTTCTTAACACTATGTATTTAATAGAATTCTCAATAAGAAATTTGTAATCATTGAATTTCTGAAGAATATATTTTTCAGTTCTATTGAGCAATTTGTTACGAAATATGATATTGGACCCAATGACATAATCTCCCTGGACATCCTTCCTATTGAAAGGAAAATATTATTCTCTCATACTTCAAGAAAGAAAATAAAGGCAAAATATCTGTAAAAGGATTGTCTTAGTGACAAGGAACATGAAAAGTCAAGACAAATAGGGTAAAAATAGCATAAATCTTCCACTTTTTATTCAAGCAATAAGGAGACAATGTTTTAATATACAAAACCTAGCTTCAACAGTGCAGGATATAACAGAAAGCACACAAGGCAAATTTGTCTTTATGAACAAGAAACATAACTAGGAAATTATTATTTTTCCAAGGAACACATTAAAAATATTTAGGGAAAAATTGTTCCTGTTGACCTAGATTAGGATTAGTAGAATTATCCATTTATTTTCCTGAATTGATCATAATACCCTCCTTATTCTTCCATTCTGTGTCCAAAACAATGTTATACAGCGTCCACAGCCCATCAATGATAACAACGGCAGGCATGCACCATTACATTACATTGAGTTATTCCTATTCCACCTCTGTTATTTTGTTTATAGTGAAAGCTGGCTATGTACCATAAAAAGGTTACTGAGCATTGTCCCAGACCAGTAGGGAGCCTATTTTATTGCAGACAACATTTGGGATTGGAATGTAAGTTCCTGAAATGGGAGAGGCCTCTGTGGAATTGTTGATGATGCCTGAGAGCTTTGCATTGATCTTTTATTGACTTGAAGGGGTTGCTAGTATCACTGAAACAATTTGCGGATGCAATTACTTATAAATTCAGCCTTGTGTAGGAAAGGAATTGGAGTGGATCATTATATCTCACAGTCCTGATTGAAACAGGAGCAGCTAATTTTATTTCATAGTTCTAACAATGAAACATTTGTTGTCTGTGTTACCAAATTAAATAGCACACACAAAAAACAGCCTGTACAACAACTGAAAGCAAATTTAAGATTTCCAAAAGAACCAGACATTTGCCTCTGAAATTCTGGTGGTGAATAATTACAGGCCATCATT